CAAAATCACCCCAACGTAATTGTACATCAATCCAATATTTATTTGTATGAATTCCATTTAAAATATTTTTATTATCAGTTAACATTGAAGGTTTTCCAGTTTCCCATTCATTCATTCCAAATAATGTAATATCTGCACATGATGAATTCATTTTATATGATTTTCTTGGATGAATTGTTTCTTTTTGAACTCTATCAACATCTAATTCATTACTTTCTTGATCAAATACTTGACATAAATCCATGACAATACTTTCATGTATTTTTTGCCATAAATGTGCTCTAAATATTTGAATTAAACTAATTTTTAATGTAGGAATTTTTCCTTGCATAAATATTCCTGTTAAATCTAATTGTGTTTCAAATCCAACATATACACTTCCTCTATTTATTGTTGGTGACCACCATAATGTAAATCTTCTATTTGGAATTTGATTTAATCCACTTCTTTGTGCATTAGTTAATTTTTTATATTTCATTGATTCTTCAAATCCACTTGATTTTTCCCAAAATAATCCTTCCCATGTTGGAAAGAATGTAGCTCTAAATAATGTATGTTCTAAAATTCCTTCTACTCCTCCTAAAGCTTGAATCATATCACTCCTATAATTATTAAGATTCCATAATTTTCCATCATGTCTTTGATGTGTCCACCAAAATGGATTTAATTTTTGAATTTGATACCTTTTAAATTCTGTTCTAATACGCCATCCTTTATCATACGCCAATGTGTGTTTGTCTTGTTGAAATAATGTATTTATTCTTGGAATTCCTTTATCCCAAGAGTCTTCTAAATCTTCTAATGTTAATCTTCTATTTTCTTCAATAGCTTCTTTTCGTTTTTGTGCATATTCCATCCATACTCTTTGAGAATCTTTAAATTCGGTTTCCCATGGAAGAATGTATCTAAATAGATTAGGAATTAATTGGTCTTCATCATGACTCATTCCAGCTCTAAATGCTTGAATACCAACATCAGTTTGTCTACTCCATTTAAAATCTGATTGTGGAATTAAAACATGTCCCATAGAAAGCATTCCAAGTCCACCAAGTTCTTTTGGAGTATAAAATACAACTGGTGGAAATCTATTTGGCATTTTTGAATTTAATCCTATTTTAATTCTTGTTTGTATTTTATTTTCACATTTAACTAAAACATCAAGTAATTCTTGTGTATGAATAGTGGCTTCTCTAAAATACATCATTAATCCAATTAATGCAGTGTTCCATTTATTTACTACTCTTGTAAAGGTAGTAGCACTTGATGACATTAAAATTTGTCTAATTCTATTATCAAATTTCATAATTTCTTCTTTACTTACTTTTAAATATGCATTTGCTGTTTTTTCCATTGTTTCATTATTAGTAAGTGCCCATGCATCTTCTTTAATACTAAATTCTTCTTCCTGACTTCTACATTTTGGAAGAATACGAATTTCAAATCCACACATAGTAAATAAAACATTTGGATTATCTTTTGAATAAACTGTAACACATGAATCCTCCCAATTAAGAGTTGTTAATGAACGTGGTAATCTATTTTTTAATTCCCAAAATACAGCACGTCCTAAATTTACATCATGTCTCATCAATCTCATTCTACAATCTTTTGGCCAACACTTTTTGTTATTATAATTTATTGAATTTTCATTATTTGGATCTGGATGTTCTATTAATAATTTTTCTATTAATTCTTTACTTTCTTCTTCAGTAAATCTTAAAACTATATAAAATTTATCAATATATCTTGTGTACATTCTAATTGGATGGTGTTCTTCAATTTCTTTTGTCTTAAATGTTAAATAGTCATTTGGTTGATTTGAAGTACCTGCAATTTCTAATGCTCTTCTTGGTCCAAGTAATAGAATATCTAATATTAATCCATAATATTGAATAACAAAACTACTAAATGCTAATCCTTCTATTAGCCCATAAGAATTTACATGCATCATATCTTTATAAGCTAAAGTTATATTATTTTTTGCAGTAATATAATCTGCTAATAAAGGATCCATAATTAGTCTTAATAATCTATTTAATAATGTTAAATCAATTTTCTTAAACATTTTATCATAATTTGATTCCATAATAACATTACATTCTCCATTTTCAACATTCCATATATTTGTTAAATTATTCATTCCATTACAGAACTTATATACTAATAATGGTGCTGGTTCAGTGTCTGATGGTTTAATCCAGTTAGGGAATAAATGTCTTTTATCTCCTTCATACCATAAATATTGATCAAGGTATGCATCTGCAATTTTTTCCATTGGATCAAAATCATAGTTTGGAATTAAATGTGTGTACATATCAACAAATTCAATTTTTACTTCTTTAAATGTTCTTTGAGTTAATAATTGTCTTTTAATTCTAAGTAAAAATTCATGTGGGTTATCAAATGCTTGTTCAATTAATCCTAATTCTTCTCTTTGACTTTGATTAATTCTTGTTTTAGTACTAAATGATTCTTTTAAATTTTCTAATGCTAAAACAAGTAATTTAGTATCATACTTATAATTACTTGGTGGAAATGGAATTGGTTGAAATTGTTGATTTTCAAGCCATTGGACTGTAGTTGTTAATATAGCTACTCCTTCTTCACTTGTTAAATATGGACCATCTTTTAAGTAATTAAATTGTCTTTCTTGTTCTCCTTTTAGCCATAACCTTGTTAATCTTCCAAGATTTTTTTTACTAACTGTTTTATCTGCAGTACATCCTCTTTTAGTCCTCTCTCTAGTATAATGTGCAACATCTGTCCACCAATCTGCTTTCTTTTTTACATATCGTAGAATCATAGCTTCAATTGGCTCAGGTAATCCAGGAACTTTCCATGGAATATTTGCTTTCCAACATCTCCATGCTTCACTAAGATGTTGCATAATTGTTTTAGCTTTATTACTTTTAATTCCTTCAGGCATAATTTCATTAATTTCATGTAATACAGCGGCTCTTAATTCAATATCAAATCCACTTTCAACTCTTTGTTTAGTAATAGTTTTGGCTATTGCTTTAGCTTTTCTACCTTCAAATTGTCTAGCAAGAAGATTTCCTAACCATCGTTCTAAAATTGGAATTAATCCTCTTAATAAAAAGATCCATACTCTCCACATTGGTGCCCAAAATCCTATTCCAGGTCCTTTTTCAATAGAATTTGTATTAAATCGATAATAAATAATATGTTTTAAATCTTTACACATTCTTATTTGTTGAATAACTTTATATTTATAACGATACATTCCTGTAAGTGTTCCGATATGACTAAATATATATTGAATTCCATCAGCAAGAGTGTATGAATCAACTCTTCCAAGTCTGTATTGACAATGGGCATCAACAACAATTTTAGTCATTTTTAAGATTTCTCTTATTAAATGAAAAGAATTACCGAATCGTGATTTTTTTCTTTCTTTTGTTGTTAATGTTCTCACAGGTTTAATATTAAAATTATAATCTAAATGAAGAAAATCTACATTCTTTCTATGAATAAGAAGATTAAGAATATTATATCCTTGTCTAATTACTTGTAATCCTGCTTCAACCCAATCTAATTTTGTATGATAAAAGAAATGTGTTTCATCCAATGCTGCAAAGAAACTTCTTTTACAGAGAGATTTTGGCGGTTTCTTTTGTAATTCATTAATAACATAACATTTTAATAGTTTTTGATAACTTACTCTTACTTTAACAGGATAATTCTTTTGAACATGTTCTAAATACCATCCTTTAATCAATGGAACATCTTGTGCTCTTCTAGTTGCCCCATACTTATTATTAAATGGGTATTGTGCATTAATTAAGTTTAGTCCATCTTTTATTTTTTCATTGTCAAGTTCAATTGTATTACCAAATGCAATTACATCATCATAAAATTCAATTGTCTCGTCATCATCTTCTTCTTCCATTTCTTGTGTTTCGTAACAATCATTTTTCCATTCAATTGGATTAAGTAAAGAATCAAAATAATAAGTTGGTAATGTTGGATCATCAGGTTTAACAATCATTTGCATTGGATAATGATAAGGAATAATGTGAACTTCTCTTGGACGATTAGCATATAAATTAGGATAAGCAACTTTATATTCTGTACGAATAATTCTTCTAATAATAAGTTTATTAATATCATCAAACTCACTCCAATCATCATCATCATTAGTATCTCTAAACAATGGTTCAAATTTTGGTCCTCCAATTAATGTACAATTCAATGCTTTTGCATTAAAAAAAGATTCTTTATTAAATAAATAATAATAATTCATATCTGTAATATCACCAAGTAATCGTTCTGATAATCTATGTAACGTACTTAATTGATCAATATTTAATTTCCAATGTTTATAACTTATCCCATTTACATTATGACTATGGATTAATGGTTTTGAGTCATAAAACCATTCCATAACTGCTTTATCTTCTATTCCATCTAATTCCAATCGAATACTTGGTATTGGGTCCACATCAAGAATATTATCTCCATAATCTAATGGTGGTTCTTCATCATCAAATGATGGTAATATCATTCTTCTAAAATTCTTTCTATTTGCCTTTTCATTTCTCATCGCAATCCACATAGTTCCCCATTGTGCAAAATAAATTGGTTCAATAACTTTAGGTATTTCAGTTACAAAAGTAATTGCTCCAGTGATATGATACATAACATCAACCATTTTAACTTCTTCCCATGGCATTGGTATATTTTCTAATAATTTATATACTGCATGAGGTAAAAATTTAAGCGCACCTAAATACACTCTTTTATCTTTACTAAATTTTCTACTCGACATATCTCCATGCTCTTTTACAATTTTCCTGATATGTTCAGGTGGCATGGTAATACTCATTTTATTCAATAATTTATGTTTTTTTAGTTTTTTTTTTTAGGTTTTTAATAACAAAAATTCTTTTTTGTACCTCATTTTTATGGAAAAAGAAAATGTTTTTTATTTCTTTCATTAAATTAAATTTTTTTAGAACTCATAAATTAAATTTCATAAAATGACTACTGAGATTACTGATACAATAAAATTATGTGAAGAATTAAAGTCAATGACTAATGAAATGATTAATCAACTTAATATTGTAAAACGACAAGTTGGAACTGACGAATTTCAAAATGGGAAAGATAATTTAATTTTAAAAATAGGAGAAATAGGTAACTTTGTTACAATGACAAATAAAAGGTTTGAGATTTTACTTTTAAAAAGAAAGGAAAACTTATCAAAATAGTGATTATACCAATCCAGAAATTGAAGGGTTACAATCTATAATAATATTAACTCATTTATTGTATGAAGTAACTAAAACTTGGAGTACAGAAAATAATGTTGAAGATGAATTAAATCTTAAAATATCATATTTACAACAACAAACAAAAAAACTTAATCAAATTGCCATTACCGAAGCTCCGAAAAAGAAAGTAGATATATTAAATGAAGTGGCAAAACAAATTGATCTTGGTGTAGGAAAGAATATTACAAAAGAATTAGAAAAGAAAGGAATAAAGGATGTAACAATTGATATTTCTATTGCTGAAGCACGAATCAAATTAGTTGAATCTCGAAAGAAACAAGAAGAAGCATTAAAAGCAATAGAAAAGATTTATTCAATTTTAGAACCAGTAAAAGAACATTGGACGAAAGAAGATTTTATTAAAGCATGTTTTGGTAATGTTGAACAAAAGAATTAATTTTAATAAAGTTAATAAATTTCATTACAATAAATTAAACAGTTTTAATAAGAAATAAAAAATAGAAAATTAAAGAAAAAAGATCATTTTAAAATTATTGCAAAATAATTGCTAATTTGTTTGGTTCAACCTTTGGACAAGCCCAATTATAAAGATAATATTTCAAATAACCATCACCAGGAACAAATAATAAATCAGCAATATAGTGTTGATTTTCTGAAATATTTAAACAATTAAAGACATCACAATGATTTTGAACAGCACAAATTAAAATATCTTTAAAGAATTGTTTAAAATCAACGTCTTTATCATAAAAGTAATAATATTGATAAGCAATATATAATTCTGAATATTCATATGAATTAAGAATAGATGATGGTAATATATAAAATGCTCCAAATGCTTTTATAACTCCATCTTGTTCTAAAACATAACTTTTAATAATACCATCTCTACTGAGGAAAGTATGTGCTACCATTTCTTTACTAAATAATACTGTAAGGTCATAATGAGTATGCAAAAATCTATTAAGTTTTTCTGTAACAACATCAACATCTTTTTCTTCCATTTGTCTAAACCCAATCGAATTTGGTTGTTCTGGTAATTTATAAAGTTTTAATGCTCTTTGAAGTGTTAGTCTTTGATTACAAGTTGAAAATCCAATAGCATCTAATTTTTTTGGATTTAATGGACGATGGAAATATTGTGTAGTACAAACAATATTTGGTAATTCAGTTCCAGAAGTATAAACTGCTTGAAATAGTCCTGTTAAATGAACTTGACGAGTAACTTCTTTAATTAGTTGTGGTGCCAATTTAAATTTTCTCATATCCTTTCTAACACACAAAAAGTTAATTTCTGCAACATCTACAATACGGTCATAAATTTTTATTGAACTTGGAATCCCTGTAATAAATCCAATTAATTCATGATTATCTTTTTGTCTAATTCCTACAAACCAACTAGGATAATATCCTGGTACTTTTAAACACCATTTTATAAATTCTTTTTGATAATCAAATCTAAGTGTAGCGTCATCATCTTCAACATAATTTTCTTTTAATAATATATATACTTCTTCCATTTCTTTTTCATTGTCAATATTAACAATACAATATTCCATATTTTCATTTGGTAATGGTGCTGGTACTTTTGGTACTTTTTCAATTGGAATATCTGGTTGAATTGGGTTATTATATTTTTGTGGTACAATAACTCCAGTTCCTGTTACTGGTTCATATTTCCAAAATTTATGATCATTATCAATATCTCCTATAGTTTTACCATCTTCTTCTTTTTTAATTGCTTGTAAAAATTCACTTTTTTCTTCTTCTTTTACTAATTCTTTAGGTTTTAATTCAATTACTTTTTCTTCTTCTATCTCTTGTTTCTTTGTTATCTTATTATTCTTTTTTGTTGTTTTCTTTCCTTTTCCTTGTTGATGTGGCATTTCTCTTACTAATTTTCTACTTTATTTATAGTTCTTCATTCATTTATTATATTTTTACTATTATTTTATTATTACTATTATTATATACTTTTTTCTTTTCTTTTTTTAGTTTCTTCCTTTTTTCTTATTTTTTCCAACAGTTTAATCATTATTGTTTTATCATGCTCAAATGTTAACCCCATGAATGTACAAACAGTGTTCTGTCTTAAAAACGTGTTCTATCTCAAATACATTTCTCACTTCTATGTCTTTCTTTTTGTACAATATTATCAATCAGATATATGTAATCCATTTTAATTTTATTATTCCTCAAATCTCAAAATCATCTTCTTAACAAATAAACATTTTTAAATAAAGAATTAATAAATTGAACTTCAATACACTCGATTTTTATTTTTTTTATTTATTTGAAAGTATCATTCGATTCGAATATGTTATATCAGAGACATCATACGCAACCCTAATATGTCTAAGTTTCGAGTCACCAGTTATTGTCTGGTTATGGTGTGCCTTTAGTGAGATAACTTCCCATTCACCGTTGGTTATTATTCATTAATATTTATTATGAATGATTATTAAGGACCATTATTTATTATGTACAAGATTATTTATTTACTCTGACGGTAGTATTATTTATTTATCGACGCACAAGTATATTTATCAAAGATGGTTTTGGTTGAGTGTTAGAATCTTATTAAGAAAAATCGATTCTTTAATTGGTGTCAATGACAAAGAAGATAGGTCATAGTCATAGTGTTATGGATGTATTCTTCTTATAATATCATTACTAACAATGAAGGGTTTTAATATTCATTAGATTCAAAATAAAAATCAGATACAACCTTAAATGAGGGACCATTTAATTCAAGCATCTTTGAAAAAAAAATTTATTTCAATAATAGTAAGACTTACTGAAGAAACTGATTCACTTACTTCTCAACATAATGAAAACCTATGATA